GGGGGGGGGGAAGGGGGAAAGAGAAGGGGAAAAAGAGAAGAGCGGAGGGGGCACTCACCAGTCACCACTGTGTGGCAGCGTGAAATTCGCTTAATCCATTAATGAGCGAATCGAACGGTACCGAATGAGAATTAGCGTAAATTGCACAAAACTGTAACGTCGCGCTTTCAAAAGAGAATTATTACTTTCGGGGAAGTCTCTTGTTGATTTTCTTCTCGTTCTATAAAAATGATACATCGAACGAATGCGAAGAATTTTAGTTTTGGAATTGTGAATACAATAATAATAATATTATATACTAATATTAATAATAGCTTTATTGAATGTGCAATGACTTATGTTAATATTGAAAATAACGTATACTTAGTGACAATCACGACAAATCACCAAAAAAATAGACTGCAGCTAAGGACTAATTTGATGCCTAATCTAAATAAAGTTTATATATTGCTCCGAATTCGAAGAAGTCAATCGGACGAATGACAATAGTGCATTTTTTGCGTTACGCAATTCGCGCGTTGTGCAACACGCTGCAAAGTTTAATGCGTTAAATGTATAAATAACGCTAACCGTGTGTACCATATCATTGCCAACATACGAGCTTAAGTACGGATCCGGGATTGCGACGATCACGCACTTCGTTGCAGATCGCGAGATCACGGGGAATCCACCTTACGCCTATTCCAAAATCAATTTCCTCGAAAGCAGAGGAAAAACAAAGGCGAAACCGCGAATAAAATAATAAACGTTTCTAGACGGAAGAAATACGATGTGGTATTCACATGCAGTATTAGCTATCAGCAGCTAACTGAAAATAATGTTGTTAATTTAATAATTATTAATAAAACAAATACGCCATGCACTAAAAAAAAGTTTACTAAATTTTAATCAATATTTGCTTAAATAGTAGTAACTAAACATTTACTTGCGGTAAATATTTACTTAATAAAAAAAAAATACTTAAATCAAATTAATGTTTCTTGTATCAAATAAAAAATGTTTACATTTAGTAAATATTTAGTTAGTACTATTCAAACAAATATTTATTAAAATTTCATACACTTTCAGTTTGCTTTTGTTTTAATAAAATATTATTTGTTTCATTAACGCTATTATTGAAACAAGATTATTTTTAATTAGACACTGCTATTGACTAACAATACTGTTAATACATTCTCTTGTACGTAATTGCATTTTATGTAATTATATTTTTATCTTTTTGAAGAAATATCTTCTTAATTTCTTCCATTATTTTGCTATACATTTTTTTGCCAAATCATTAATAAGAAAAATTATTAAGAATGGGTCATCAAGCATTCATGTTTCAAACATCTTTATGATATTTTTAACGGTTAGAACCGCTAGTGATATTATTTTGGCTTTACTAACCATTTTCATTTTTAAAAATTAAATATACGGTATAGAATACTGAAAAAATGATTATATAATAAAAATAATTTTACTGACACAAATAATATCAAAATAAATCTTCATTTAATTTTCATTTTTCTAACCGAAAACAAGGATAGGAAGTTGTTGGTACCTTCAACAGTTGTAGTGAGATATCATAGAACTTGACAACGCAGAATTTTCAAGGACGTACTCCTCATATATTCCACTTGTTCTAAAGAACTTTCGCACATCTTCAAGAATAGAGACACTTCAAGTACGAACCTTAAATGACGCTATTGTAAGAGTTTTGCCTTCTTCCTGAGCTAAGATAAAGAATAACTTATAAGGTACAATTTTATGCTGATACTCGACGTTCATTTCTAATATCAAATAGATCACGTGGTCAAAATTGATGAAAATAAGCAAGTGTCAATTTTGATCACGTGATCTGTTTCAACGTTAAAAATGAGCGTCGAGCGTCAGTATGCGAAACTAGCGAAAGTATCTTAAAAGGGAAATAGCTGGGAAAAAATTATCTGGAAATACACACACCGATCGCACGACAATTCGCTTTACGTAACGAGACACTCTTTTCTCTTCTCTTCTATTGGCCCGTTGCTATACCAAATCACCTGTTCCGCATTGTCAACGTGCCAATTAACATGCCTTGCGCGCAGAGCATACAACGCGCGCATTATTGTTTCCCGGAACATTATTAATCGATAGTCTGTCGATCGGGTGGGGGGACTTCTTACAAATTCCTCTTTCGCGGTCATTTTACAGCAGAGTTATCTTCGGCCTTTTTCTGCGAGTTGCACTTTTTAATTTTAAGTTCAATTTTAATAACAATCAGAACTTTCTTTGTGTTCCTTGTAAAAAGGAACACAAATGACACAAAATGTTCAACACGATGCTTTCCAACACAAATGTGCACGGACAAAAAGCTGAGGCTCGTGTGTCAAATACACGATTATTGAATTATTTGGAAAAGACAGAAAGGTTTCAGCGTGTTGTAAAAATTTGGCAGCCTTGATTAGACAACAAACAGTGCTATACAGTGTCTTATACTGTATTTGTGTCTCCTAGCTGGAAAGATCCCAATAAGTATCAAACAGGGCGAATGAGAGTACCAGTGTGGTTAACGGTACGCAAATAATAATATAAAAATATAATGAATGATGATAATATAAAAACTTTTATTGATTTATTGAAATATTATGATGTAATTCATCTCTGACTGAACGTTTCAATCCTCTTTGGTCCGATTTTTTTAATTATCTGGTTAACTTGTGGTTAGGCTTATGAAACCTGATGCTTTATCCAATGGGCTTTTTATCTTTGGATTGGTAGAAAACTTCTGCGATTTTCGTTAACTCAAATCAAAACTATTCATATATACAATATCTTCGTCAAAAATAAACAAAAT